GGAGTTCCAGTTTAGGCTCGACCTCTTAAGCTTAAACTGTAAAGTATATAAGCCCAAGGTAGAGGACCAATGGGCTACTTCGTCAAGCCCAGATGTAACAGGGCTACAGTCCTAGACGATGACATGGACCCTCTAACTGCAACTCTTTCTTCCATCCAGCCACCACTCCACCTACAAATTGACCAAACACTTAAACCACGAAAGGCCCATCTTAGCCTCAGCAGATCACTTGTCTTTCTCGTCCATCACATCCTCACCGTTCGGTAGCAAGGTGAACGGTCCAAATCATCCAATCTCCATCATCCAACGGCTGATATGATTCCTCCAACCTTTTTGACCCACTCAACATTCGTTCCTTCCCCCCGCACATCTGCCGCCGTGACGATTCTCCACTCTCTCTAGATCCAAAACCAATGTCATTTCCGTCATTGCATCAACATAAACCGGTCCATATACACTACACCAAACAATGGGGAAACGGAAATAACAGATAATATCCCGCGTTAATGAAGAAAAACCGGTCTCGCAGGTCAAAATAAAAGAAAAAAAAAACAGTGTCGGTGTTCCGTAATAAGCCCGCCACGCTCACTAATCTACCAACCAGATCTTATACAACACAATCTTTACTTATCTCCCCAGATCCAGACACCCATTTCCTTGATTTCTCTTTTTGATTCATTTTCAAGTCTGTCCGGACTACACTTATCTGCAATTGCAGGCCTATTTCGCTGTTTTTTTTTCCTCGATTACTGCAATGTGCTTGTTTTGAGCGAGATCTAGGCCTGAAAGTTTGTATCTTGGCTAGTTTTGGAGAGACCCAAATGGGGGACAAGTCAGGGTCGAGGGGCTGGTGGGGGTGGTTATTGGTGGTCGTGATATTGGCTCTGGTGGTGGGAGCCGTTGTGTATACAATCAAGAGGAAAATTAGTCACTCTAATGGTGGTGCTGCGCCGGTTCCGGGACCTCCAGGAGCTATTGATAAGAAGTACTCTGAAGCTCTCAAAATCGCAATGCAATTCTTCGACGTTCAGAAATGTACTGTCTCCATCTTTCTCGCACTCATTTTTATTCTGAAGTCGTATGTTGTAAATGTAGCATTGAATGCTTGTAGATCTTGTAGTGTTTGTTGTTGTGTGTGAACTAAATTTGATTCTGTTATTTGTCTGGAAGTTGAATAGTATAATCATTGCTGATTAGATGCTTTTTGATAGATTGAATGTTATGGTGGTGTTTAATCTTTGTTCCCTTTTGGTGATAATGGAGGCGGATTTGCTAATTGTTCTTGCAGCTGGTAAGTTAGTGGATAATAAGATATCGTGGCGAGGGGATTCAGCTCTCAAAGATGGAAGTGAAGCGAATTTGGATCTCTCGAAGGGCATGTATGATGCTGGAGATCACATGAAGTTTGGTTTCCCAATGGCATTTACTGCCACTGTGTTGTCATGGTCTATCCTTGAGTATGGAGATCAGATGGATGCAGTGAATCAGTTGGAACCCGCAAAGGACTCCCTCAAATGGATTACAGATTACCTTGTAAATGCTCATCCATCAGAGAATGTGCTCTATATTCAGGTTAGTATTTTGCCTTAAATTCCAACTACCAAACGTTACTATGTAGCCGTGTGAGTGAATAACCAGTAAAACTTCAATTAGTTGCTATGAATAAAAACCTCTGAATTTGTCTAATCCTTCCAACTTCTAATTTTGAGGCAGGTTGGTGATCCTGAAGTAGACCATAAATGTTGGAATAGGCCTGAAGATATGACTGAGGAGAGGCCTCTCACACAGGTGAACACTTCTTCTCCAGGGACAGAGGTTGCAGCTGAAACTGCTGCAGCTATGGCAGCAGCATCTCTGGTGTTTAAGAAAACTGACTCCACATATTCAAGCACCCTGTTGAAGCATGCTCAGCAACTGTTTTCATTTGCTGACAAATTTAGAGCTTCTTACAGTGAAAGCATCCCTGATGTTGCCACATATTACAACTCAACAGGATATGGAGATGAGCTCTTATGGGCTGCCAGTTGGCTCTATCATGCAACAGGTGACAAATCATATCTTCAATATGTGACAGTGAAGAATGGAAAAGACTTTGCTAATTGGGGAAGTCCAACCTGGTTTAGTTGGGATAACAAGCTTGCAGGAACCCAGGTAATGTTTC